GTGTATTCTTTCCATCTTCTTTTGATGTTTCCTGCATCGTTCAATATATTACCCATAGAATCTTTCAATAGTGCAACTTGAGGCTTCAATATTTTCTTCAGTTTTTTCAGCTTGAGAAATCCCAAGTGTATTCTTCCCTTTTGGCTTTCCAACTCCTTGTCTTTGCACATTTCCTTATAATAATTGACTTTGTTTTCTCAAGCTGCTCTTTGAAACCTTCTGTTCAGCGCTTTTATCTTGTCATTTCTTCCATTTGCTTTAGCTGCTCTCCATTCAATGGCAAGTTTCAGAGTCTCTTCTGACATCTGTTTTAGCCTTTTCTTCCTTTCCTGTCTTTTTAATGACCTTTTGCTTTCTTTATGGAAGATGTTCTTGATGTCATCCCACAATTCCTCTGGTTTTCGGTCACTGGTGTTCAGTGCATCAAATCTATTCTTTAAATAGTCTCTAAATTCAGGAGGGATATTATCAAGGTCATATTTTGGCTCTTATGGACTTGCTTTAATTGTCTTCAACTTTAACTTGAACTTGCATATGAGCAGTTGATTGTCTGTTCCACAGTCAGTTCCTGGCCTTGTTTTGGCTGAAGATATTGAGCTGCTCCATCACCTCTTGCCACAGGTGTAGTGAGTCTGATTCCTGTGTACTCCATCTGGTGAAGTCCATGTGTATAGCCACCATTTATGTTGTTGAAAAAGGTGTTTGCAATGAGTAAGTCATTGGTCTTGCAAAATTCTATCATGCGATCTCCAGCATTATTTCTGTCTCCAAGGCCAAATTTTCCAATTACTGGTGATTTTTCTTTGTTTCCAACTTTTGCATTCCATTCACCAGTGATCAGCACATCTTGATTGCATGTTTGGTCAATTTCAGACTGCAGAAGTTGGTAAAAATTTTCAATTTCCTCATCTTTGGCTTTGGTGGTTGGTGTGTAAATTTGAATAATAGTACTAACTGGCTTTCCTTGTAGGCATATGGATATTATTCTATCACTGACAGCATTGTACTTCAGGATAGATCTTGAAACATTCTTTTTGATGATGGATGCCACACCATTCTTCTTCAATTTGTCATTCCCAGCATAGTAGATCATGTGGTTATCTGATTTAAAATGGCCAAAACTAGTCCATTTCAGCTCACTAATGCCTAGGATATCAATCTTTATGCATTCCATTTCATTTCTGACAACTTCCAATTTTCCTAGATTCGTACTTAGTACCTTCCATTTTCCAGTTATTAATGGATGTTTGCAACTGTTTCTTCTCATATTGAGTTGTGCCACTTCAGCAAATGGAGGTCCCGAAAGCCCTACTTTTTGTTGTTGTTGTTTTTGGTTTTTATTGTGATTTGGGTGAAGATTTACAGAGCAAATTCACTTTCCATACAGCAGTTCACATATACTTTGTCTCAT